TTGTCTGTCTGTCTGTCTGCCTGCCTCTCTGATGTCCCCACTCCAAGATGGCCTTTCACTCTTTCAATTCTCCCCCTCTCCAAAAAACCTCTTGGTGCATGGCAAGTTCTCTTGGGGAGCAAACCATGGCAGGGCCTGTGGAAGGCACCCCCTTTCTGTATTTTTATCCTTTTAGTGAAGAATCTAGGTCTTACCCTTGTAGACAGGCCTCAGAACAGACCTCCTCCGGCTGCTTTCTGAGGAGGTACCACCCAGCATCTTTCGCTGCTTCTGACAAGATCAATGTCATATAAGTGACAGTTTTTATAAAAGCTATTGTTACTACAAAACAATAGAAGGAATTGCTCAAATTCACATAATCATAAAATACAGAGTCAAGACATAAGCATCTTGTCAGAGTTGATGAACAGTCTGCAATTGACTCCTTGGAGATAGAACAGAGGAACAACAACCGTGTTTGTCCCTACTCTGTTGAAAAGGGGATGAATGAGACATGACTAGTTTTAGAGCGTAATGAAGAAGAAGAAGAAGAAGAAGAAGAAGAAGAAGAAGAAGAAGAAGAAGAAGAAGAAGAAGAAGCAAGCATTCTAGGTCTGCAAGTGAAAGCTTTGAATGCAAAGCTTGTGTAGCCCCATTCTAGAATAGTTAGTTAATGTCCTCACAATTGGTTTTCTCATCTTTAATACAGGAAGGTCTATGAAAGGATGCCTGAGGTTCATGCTTTGCGTGCATGAGTACGTGTGTGTGTGTGTGTGTGTGTGTGTGTGTGTGTGTGTGTGTGTGTGTGTTTGATTTCTTTAAGGCAGGGTCTTACTATGTTAGCCCAGGCTGGTTGCTAACCCAAGGCAATTCTACCACTTCAGCATCCCACATACTAGATTTATAGCTATCATCCCTGAGGCTTCTGGCTCCCAGCTGCCAATCTAAAATTCTGTCTGTCAGATGCCTTTGAAATTTGACAAAAGGCAATGACAGCATGGCTGTTATCAGTTTTCTTTCACATACCTGGTGTATTTCCACTAAGGATTATCAAATTCAAGGCAAAATCATTTGCTTGTGTTTTCTGGGTCATTCTGTAGGAATCCACGTCAGGGATTTAAACCCGAGGAAAGGGATTACCTTTATCAGAATTGATATATCCTAGAGCTCTTGGATTTTCCCATAAAAACTGAGAAGGGTATTTTTCCACTCATCTTAACTGAAATGTTGGAGGCTCTTGGAATAAAACATAACCTGTCCACATTCAGTGCTCATTTGTCATTAACACATAGAAAGTCTCACTTAGTTTAGCTTAGCAATAGTCAGTCAAGTGAAATGGAGCTGGTTTAGTCCAGCTTTTTAAGCACGAGGGTGAGAAGCATTAGTCCAGAGGATCTTGGGGAAAGCATCGGCCCTGACTTAGCTCAGATGCCCCTCCTCCACACGGCCAAGCTGTCTCTAGTGACTGTTGCTACTGCCAGGAGACAAGGAAGCTGCGAGAAGTTCATCTTCTGAGGCTGGGCTTTGGACACTGGGTAGCGACACACTTGTTTCACATGGGGCTGGAGGAGAGTCTGATACGAAACAAAGGAAAATCGGGGAGAGAGGGATGGTACGAGATTTAAAAAGTATCAGACTTGGAACCAGGCATGGTGGTACCCCTCCCTCCATAATCTCAGTACTTGAGAGGTGTAGTCAAGAGTTTGAGGCCAGCCTCAGCCCCGTGGTGAGTGGAGGCCAGCCTGGATTTGACCCTGTCTCAGCAACAACGACAATAAAAACCAGACTTGATCTTTGGGCAAACAAGATACATATTTCAGCTCTTACTTTCAGTATATGTGACCTTGGGCAGTTATTCAATCTCTCTAAGTCACACTGTATGTTTAATAACTTTTCTTCTCTTGGGTTGCTATGAGGATTAATGATATCATTGATGGAGAGCACTTCTTCCCGGAGATTCGAAACCCAGTCAGAACTGATCAATGTCTGCTGGTGGGCAAACATAGGGACATTTTAGCCATATTCCCTTCTGGCAGCTCCTTAAGTTCCCTCCGGATGACCGAGAGGTGTAAGAAGCAGCCTTTTAGCCTTTTGCAATCAAAAATTGGGTTCAAGACTCAGTTGTCCATTTTAAATGAGTGCATGAGCCCCTCCACCCCCACTCCCAAGAACAGTTCAGTGTGGGCACCAGTTCTGTTCACAGTTCAGTGTGGGCACCAGACAAAGGTTTGCTTTGTAAGACTGTCTAGTTGGACTAAAACTAAAATATGCAGAAATGTGTGGAACTTTAACAATAGAACATAAGGAAATGGATTTTTCTTGGCTGAAAACAAAGACTTTATAGAATATGAATTTGTAAGTAAAGAACATAGAAAAGTTCGGTCAAGAATCAACACCATTATGACACAGTTATTTCTGAGGAGGGAAGGAAGAAGTCCTGAAAAGGTGGATAATCCTCTCTACTGTTTTCAAATTTTACACGTTTCTTTTCTTATTACCTATATAATAATAATAATAATAATAATAATAATAATAATAAGAAGAAGAAGAAGAAGAAGAAGAAGAAGAAGACGACAACCAGGCATGATGAGGCATGGTTATGATCTCAACACACAGGCATCAGAGGCAGAAGGATCAGGATTTCAAGGTCATCCTCAGCTACATAATGAGTCGTTGGAGACCAAGCTGGGTTAGAAGAGAGAGACCCTGTCTCAAATCAATCAAACAAAACTGCCAAAACTAAAAACGGCAAAGGCAAGATCACAGTATAAACACTGTGCATTTAGAACACAGAAGAAATCGCATGTGTAATGAAACAAAGTAGACAGGAATCAAGGGATTAAGGAATTTCTCCTCGGGGCCACCAATGAGTTGATGCAAAGTCACCTTCTACTCAGCTAGCTGTCCTTGAGTGGGGAGAGCAGAGGCGGCAGGGTGGGTACATTTCTGACCCGATCTCCAGCGAGATTTCGATGAGCCCAGTGAAACTGCCTGCTGGATCTCATGATGCAAATGTCTTTCTCTCTCCAAGTACTTGAGAAGACATCTGTACTTTGTCTCACTCTTTTCCAAAATCCAAGGTCTGCGGAAGCGCTCCCTGAAGCACATTGGTAAATTATGCTTCTAAGCAAAACGCAACCAGATGGCAAACTAGTATTTCTAGTAGTACGTTTTGATGGCAAAGAAAATAAGAAGGCATTACAAAATAAAAATTAAAATTAAAAAAAATGCAATAGACACTTGGTTGATTAAGAATACCTGGTTAAAAAGGGTTCTAAACTACCCAGGGCTGGGAGTAATAGAGTTCACTAGGCAGTTGCATGCTTGAGAGCCAGCACTGTAAAAGATATAAGTAAAATAAAATGTCCTCAATACCACCAAATATATTAATTAAGATAGGTACAATGGCATATGCCTATAGTTCCAATACTCAAGAAACTGAGACAGGAGGATCACTTCAGCCCAGGCATTCAAGACAGCCTGGTCAGTGTAGCCAGACCTCAGGTCAAAACAAAAACAAAAACAAAATCAGCAACAAACTTTGGCTAGTTAGTTAGAAGGGAGTGGAGAATTTAAGTACTGAATGAAAGGGCTCTTCCTTTGGAAAGGCATCTTTTGGCTCTAGGGGAGACCTAAGTAGCACTTGGAGGGGTGTGAAGCCATATTGACTTACTTTCATTCAGGTTGCAGACTCTACTAGGGAAAGACCTCCGCTGACACTCTAGCTTTAGGAATTCGCTTTACTGAGGTTTCAGTGCACACCCCTTGGCCATAGACTTTGGGAGCCACGGCTCCATTGACGGAGGAGGTCTATCCAGGATGTGTAGGAGCTTCGGCTGACACTGTGGCTGGCCTTACAGGCTGCTTGCTCATAGACCTGGCTTTCCAGCTTGACCCTTCAGTGCAATGAGGCAAGCCAGACCAGCCTGTAATTCATTGTGTTCTGTTGCCATTTCAGGCAAGGCATTAAAAAAAAAAAAAAAAAAAAAAAGGCCTGAATGAAGGGGAGGATGAATGAATGGAGAGTAGCATTTTGATAGAACTGCCCCAGGGTGTTAAATAGCATGGAACCACTGGGAGCTGGAGAAGCCTTCTGTTGCCTAAGAAATACTCTCCATAAGAATGTTAGTCATCAGTCTTCCAACGACCATTCATTCCTTACCCCCCACTCGTGTGTACTTTTGCAGAACCACAGACCTCCAGTGTGGCCACTGCAATGAATTGTGTTTATCTCTGAAGCATAGAGAAAGATCTATTCATTTACAGCCCTGTGACATTACTAATACTGTGAATGGAAGAACAAGGAATTTAAACAAATGTGTACAGCAGCATAACCCACAATTACAGTTCAGGCTATAAAACGAGGCCATTTCCTGTTCCCTTTGGTGGGGGCACATGTGTTAAGCAAAACTGAGGCAACTTGAAAGAGGGTTTGAAATGTTGGAGTCGGTCATTTCTGTGAAAGGTCACACGGGTCCTTGGCTATTTATACCAGGGATAGCAGCACAGCAAATTATTGGCAGAATGAATTTGAGGAGCCAAAGCTGCTTCTAACGATTGAAGAAGAAGATAATGCAGCAGCCCTTGAGAGGAAAGGTGTGGAAAAGTTGAATCCTTCAAAGATAAGAGAGAGGGAGCTACTTAATTAGCCCAGACTAAATTGCTTGCCATTAACTGCACTCAGGCCAGCTCTCTTTGAAACTGCTTTGTAATCTTGGGCATGGCTTTGATTGAGAAATCTCAGTTCCCATCTCAAACCCGTTTGTAGACATCTCAGCCCAGCCCCCCTCCTACCAATGCAACTCCACGGAGCCTCCTCCTTTCCACCAGCCCCCCGCCCCCTCCCCCCACCCAATCTGAGTGAAGGCAGGGTCACTGTTCACCTTGACCATTGACACCAGAAGCTCTGCTTTTCACGAAGGACTGAGTAACAAAACCCGAGGCTTACCCCAGGCAAACGTCCAAAAGCATTTCAGAGAGAAGCGTAGAAAACAAAAGCAACACACACAACCTGTCCTTACCCGCTTCTTAAAAAACTGGAAGGCTGAGCATTTCTTGACTGGGAATCCATTCATGTCTTTGTTTACCATCTTCCACAGTGGGGACTTCACAGTTATAGATCCGGGGAGGCACCCGCCTGGTTACTGCATCTGTTCCCGGTTCACCTCCTGGAGATGGTGAATGAAGACCGAGCGAGCGGGATGGAGAGGCTAACGGGGCTCTCTCTCAGTTCTTCACTCGCTCATTCTGCGGCAGCAGCAGCTACTGCAGTAACTCGCCCCACTTTCAGATGCCACCGGCAGTGGCTTTTCCCTTTCCATCATTGCTCCGAAACGTAAGCATCACCGCAACAGGACCCCGGGGGGCCGGATGGCGGATACGGCAAATCTCTGGGGAGATGCTCTGGCGGCCGCTCAGGAGGGATCAGGGTACCGTCCCCGCCCCCAGCTACCTAGCGCGCGTCCGGTGCCCGCAGCGAGTCGCTCTGCTCCAGGTGATGCGCTTCTGGAGGCTGCTGGAGGAGAGCTGTTTTTGATTGTGTAGGTTCCAGTGGGAGCTGTAGTTAAGCAGCTGGGGGGGAAGGAGTAAGAAAGAGCCTAAGCCAGAGGGAAGGAGGGAGGGAGGGAGAGCCTCGCAGAAAGGCAAGCAGAAAGAGAAAGCACGGCTGGAAGAAACAAGGATGCAGGCATCTGTGAGCGGGAGCAGGGGGATGGACAGAAGACACACACACAAAAAGCACAGGAGAGCAGCTGACTCCCTTGGGAGGGCCACTAGAGTAGGTTTTTCTTTGCAAAGACCGTGGCAATCGGAGTTATCTGTAAAACGCAGACCCAATAACGTAATGCTCAAGGAAGTTCTTCGGATTCCGGTTCTGATACAAAACATCTCAAAAGAAATGTCATTCAAATGTGTTCCTGACCTATGCAAACCTTGAAAAATGGAATAAAATAAAGTGCCTGCACGGGTGTGACAATGGATGGTCTCTTACTCTGTGGGGTCTTTTCTGACATTTTCCATTCACTGGGACAATATAGGGAAGGACAGGGAAGGTAATTGTGCCTGTCTCGCCAAAGACACTGCAATAAAAGAAAATCAATGGACAGAAACAAAGTGTGTAAAACAAGCAAGCAGAACCTCACAAAGCCCTTTTCCAAAAATTCTTGCTGAGTCCGTTTAATGCAAAGGAAGCTAGGGTAAGCAAGAAGACCTATTTTTTCATGCCTCATTTTACCCCTAACCCTTACACACTTTATTTATCCTCTGCATAGTAAGTTCACTTAACAACAAAAACATTTAATCATTCCCACTTATGCTCTTTGATGTTGATATTTCATAAGATTTTTTTTTTTAAGATAGTGTTTATAGGAAAAGGGATTAGCTTTGGGTTGGGCGCTGCTTGCCTGCCAGTGTGTGGCTTTCTATCAGCCACTTCACCTCACTTTGCCTTTCAGATGCTGCCTGGTCTATGAGGTGGACGTAATCATTCATTTACTCAGTCACTTGTTTGCTGTCTCATTCCATTCATTTTAAAGGTCAAACCCAAATACAGCATGTGTTCACCAGTAGGAAATACAACTGAACTATTGCTAATAACAAGAGAAAGGCACTGGGCCAGTTTGATGCACCTAAAAGACACCCCCTTAGTAAAATGCTTCTAAGGGCTGAGGATGTAGTATGGTTGACAGACTGCTTGCTTAGCATGCATGAGACCCTGGGTTTGATCCTTATCACGGCATAAACCAGACGTGGTAGCATCATGAGATTAGAATCCCAGAAGTTGGGAGGTAGAGGTAGGAGGATCAGAAATTCAAGGTCATCCTCAGGCGATTTGAGGCCAGCCTATAATTCATGAGACAATACCAAAACAGAACAGCAACAACAACAACGACCCCACATGGTTAAACCATTTACATAGCAGTCTCTAAAGAGAAGGGAAACATGCAGGTTAATTGGGGGAGAGGTTTCTTTTGAGTATGAGTCTATGAGATATGGATTAAGTTGTCCAAGACACAAGGATACATTATGTCATCTACAGCATCAGTAGGCTAAGGTTTTCCTAAAGGCGTCATCTAAAAACAGAGCTCAAAGGGAAATATTTTGAGATGATAGAAATGTTCTCCGCCATGATTATGGTAATGATTACCATACCATAAGAGCTAAACTTCACCATGAAAAGAAAAACAGTTGCTTTCATAGTAAATTAGACCTCAGCAAATCTCATTAGAAAACAGTGGTGGTCACTCAACTTCTTTCGTGTTCCTTTAATTGCCCTTCCTGGAAAAGTGTTTTAACAGACATTTATTGAACTGGGGTGATACATAGGAGGGACTTTCTAAACAACCTAGGGAAAAGGAGGTTCTGGGACCCCCATTTGATTTCCTATTATTCTACCATACAGACTCTATATTGACCTGGGGTGAAGAGGAATGTCTCCTAGAGACTACAGGGGAGGAGGTGAAGCCCAAACTGAAGGCTAACCTATCCTTCCTGTCCTTCAGAAACCACCTCTAGATGCTGTCACTGTAAGTTAGCCTACCCTAGACCTTATGCAAGGTTCTATGAATGCCACGATGCATGCTTTGCATCCCATGAGATGTGCCCAAGTAGTGGTTTGAACAAGAGTGGTCTTCATGGGCTCGTATAGCTGCACGCTTATTACCCGGTTTGTGAACTGTTTGGAAAGGATGAGAAGGTGGAGCTTTGTTGGAGTAGGCACAGCCTTGTTGTAGGTGTGCCACTGGGTGTGGCCTTTGAGGTTTCAAAAGCCATGCCAGACAGCGTCTCTCTCTTCCTCTTCCCCTCCCTTGCTCCTCACCCCCCTCCCCTCTGCCTGCAGCTTGCAGATTAGGATGTGAAGCTCTCAGCTACTTCTTCACAACCATACCTGCCCACCTCCCACCACATTCCCTGCCATGACGATCATAGACTTATCCTCTAAAATATGAGCAAGCCGTCAATGAAATGCTTTCTTTTGTAAGAGTTGCCTTGGTCATGGTGTCTCTTCACAGTAATAGAACAGTGACTATGACAGTATGCACACACACACACACACACACACACACACACAGAGCATTAGATCCATTCTGGTTTGCAGGTGAGCAAGGTGGGGAAAAAGGTAAGTAAGGCCCAGAGAAGCTTTCCTCAGAGGAGTGACATCAGCGGCTGCCCTTGGGACAGGCCAGTTGGGCCATTACTTGTCCTGAGAGTGGGGGCAATTTATTTTTTTATTTCTCTCTCTCTCTCTTTGTGTGTGTGTGTGTGTGTGTGTGTGTGTGTGTGTGTGTGTGTGTGTGTGTGCCTGTGTGTGTGTATGCCACAGGTGTGTAGGTGTCTGAGGAAGCCAGAAGAGGTTGTTGGATCCCCTGGAGCTGGAACAACAGGTGGTTGTAAGCTACCCAATGTAGGAATTGAACTTGGGTCCTCTGAAAGTGCTCTTAACCACTGAGCCATTATTCTAGCCACTCTGTTTGTTTGTTTCTCCTTCCTTCCTTTCTTCCTTCCTTCCTTCCTTCCTTCCTTCCTTCCTTCCTTCCTTCCTTCCTTTTTTCTTTCTCAAAAAAGAATATAGATTTATTAAGGAAGAATGAGAAGGAAACAAGAGGCTCCAGGAAGGAAATATCCCCGTTTCTTATAGCAAAATAATCCTTGGTTTCGTTAAGTTAATGAAACTATTTCCCTCTTTTCATCAGAAAACATCACTTGTTCATTTTCGTAACCTCAGCACACAGTGGAAGTGGCTGCCTGTGGTAGGCAATGGTTTTTCATGAACTCAATCAGAAGATAAATAAAGCCGACATCTGTGACCCTGGGCTGTTTGTCGGGATCATTAAATTCCTCCGATCATGTGAAACTATTGCATTAACTCCAATCACATCCTATGCACTGAGATCTGGTAAGAGACCCTGGCCCTCCTTTCTTATCATATCTCTTTTAAGCCCCGATGACACTGTTTTCCCTCCTTTCATACTGACCATCCTAGATTTACAAAGAACACTTGGAATTCTATCCACTCTCTCTCCCCGATACTCTCTGTAGAGTATGCGTGTACACACATGAATGGTAGACCTCAGGTGACGTCATTGTCTACCTTATTTTTTAAATTTTTGCTTTAAAATACTTTGACAGTTTTATACATATCTACAAATGTGTTTTGATCATATTCACCCCAACTCCCTCTCTCACTCTCTCAGACTCCCCCCAACATCTTTGTTTTTGTCCACATTATTATTGTCATTGTTGTTTTATTAGTAGTAGTAGTATTAGTATTGTTATTATTATTATTATTACTATTTTAAGATAGGATCTTACTAAGTAACCCTGGTTGGCCTGGGACTTGCTGTAATGGACCAAACATCTCCCAAGGGCTGGGATTAAATGTGTCTTCCACCCTGCTGGCTTCTCCACCTTACGTTTTGAGGCAGGGTCTCTTACTGAATCTGAAGCTTACCCACTGGCTAGACTGAATAGTCCGAGAGCCCATCCGCCATCCTTCTGTTTCTGCCTCTCCAGCCCTGAGATTACCCACAAATGCCATGGTGCCTGGCTTTTTCCGTGGCCTCTGGGGATCCAAACTCAGGCGGTCATGCTTACATGGCAGTCACTTTACACACTCAGCCATCCCTCTCTAGTTCCCCATTTGTTTTCTTAGGGTATATCCAGTCTCCTTGCTGACATTATTTACACGATAATACGAAAAATGAATAAAGGAGCTGTGCAGTACTGATCACCGTTATCTACCCAGAGTGGGATGGACTGTGTGACAACCTTCCCTCAGCTACTGAGCCCAACTTCTCATCTGTAGAATAATAGTAATGAAATGCTTCTCTACCTGCCTCATAAAGAAACTGTCAGTATTAAATTATGTGTGAAGGGCTTTGTTCCTGTTTGCAAACTCCCAGTAAATCCATCCTTTTGGTTTTAATCAAGCAGGAGACAAACACCAGTATAATATAGAAACTCTTTATAGACTTAGAGTGTTGGCATGTGATACATTTAAGTTCTGAATTTAATGAGATTTCTCTTACAGCACCTTGAAAACAGAAACGGTTATAAGAGAATATCTGTTGAGGGACTGATGTCCCACAGAAGAAAAGAGTACAAATAGATCATGTCATAAGAAATATGACACATTCCTCTTTGACATGGGTTACTTGATTATATGCTCTAGTCCCTGTGGTAGGCATGCATGCAACCAGGGCTTCGGAAAACCCACCAGGGACTATGCCTCTGATTGTGTACGTGCCAAAGAGTTCTGTTATTATATTTTGTTTCAAATTTGTAATGTTTTTACTTCATTAAATTGGATTGGTCTTGATTTTTTTTTAATTTTGTGTATTTACTATGTGTATATTTATCTGTGTGTGTACCACACTACCCACTGAGTCACCTCCTTAGTACATCTTGTTTGTGTCCATTGTCGTTTGTTAAGACAATTTGTCTTGTCTCAACCTCCTGAGTACTGGGATTACAGGTGTGAACCACTGCAAGCAGCTCGGCCAATTGGATCCTTTGCAGGAGAAAAAGGTACGAGATGAAAGGTTACACAATCAATACTACCCCAAGAAGAAACACCCAAACTTCAATCTCAGTCCATGGTGTTTTAATTTATTTAGCTTATATTTGGAGATGGGGGGGCATCTCACTATGTAGCCCTGGATAGCCCAGAACTTACCTGCCTCTGCCTCCCAAATGCTGGGCCTACTAGTATGAGCCACTATGAC